CCGAGATGCTGTTCTCCTTAACTCCGTGCGTCACGCCCCCTGCCCAACCGACTCCCCGCCCATCCCCTCCCCCCCCTTTCGCCAAACCACACTCTCCTCGTGGCTGCAAAGTGGCCACCAGCATGACCCTTTCTCGGGCGAGCCCCTGCGCGAGGCGGTCCTCGCCGACTCGGACCTCCGCCGATTGATCGACCTGCGCCGGACACACCCGGTCGTCAAGCGCACCCTCGATGTGCGTGCCCAGCGCGAGGACCTTCGAGCCAAGCGCGCCCGCTTCCTTGAGGCCCTCCGCGCGGACCCCGCGAATCCAGCCGCCCCGTCGGCCCCCCCGCCGGCCCCCCCGCCGGAATAGACATAGATCCGCAAGGGCCGGGGCGGCCTGCGTGTTTTTCTCCGCGCATCCGAGTCCATGGTGAGCAGGGATGCGTGTGTCGCACCTACCACACATCCTCCCGCTCCCCCCCCCCCCCCTCCACACACACACACGAAGAGCCAGCAAAAGACGGGCGCCCCCAAACGCCGGGCCCTATACACAGAGCCCTCGTGCATTTTGATACCTGGCGGCTCGCGAGACCGAAGGGAAACTGCCGATCGTCCCGCGCCCGGCCAAACACAGGGGGACCGAAAGACAAAGGAAGGGGAGGGGCCAGAGGAGGCCGGGAGCCATGCCCACCAGCACCCCGCCGGACAGCGGGCAAGGGCCATGCTCAGCGATGCGAGAGCCGACTCACCACCGACCCAGACTCCGACAGGCCCTTGGAGATGGTGGAGGATGTGGCGTCGGAGGACAGGTCCGAGGACAGCCCCGAGGAGGACTTGCTGCCGTCTTCGGGCGGCACCCCCGGGCCGGCATCATCGCCCAGGTGCATGGCAATCGACTTGTCGCCACTGCCACGGCCGGCCGCCGGCTGCTCCTTCGAGGCCGAGGGGGAGGATCCCGCGGCAGGCCGGCCGCCACGCCGCCCCCGCCGCCGGCCGACGATCACCACCGCCAGCACCGCCGCCAGGGCCCCCAGCACCAGGAGCCCGAGCGACCCGCCGAGGGCCCCCCCCAGGAGGGGGCCGCTGACCGGCGTGGCCAGGCGCCCGGCCACCGCCTTCGGCACCTCGGCCAGCTCGACCGCCTGCCAGTCCACCGCGCGATTGTACAGGTACACCGAGCGCGACCCGAGGGATTGCAGGCCACTGGCATCCACTCCAACCCCGAGGGGCTCCAGGCCCAGGAGCTCCACCTCGAAGTACACGGCTCCGAGGCCGCGCGCGTAGCCCACGGGATCCTCGCGCAGCAGCTCCGGCAGGTTCAGCTCCAGCCCGGGGACCACCTGCGGGTCGTCCTGGCTGGGAGTGGCCGGCACGGCCGCGGTGAAGACACCGAGCGGGACATCCACCCGGGAAAAGTGCTTGCCCTCATGGCCCAGGCGGTCCGAGTGCACCGGCCGCAGCTGAAGATACGCCCCGGCAAACTGTGCATGCGCCGGGGGGAAGGGACCAAAGGCGGGGGAAATGCAGCACCAGCAGGGCAGCAGCCGGCCCTCCGCCCCTCGGTAAGGGTGTCAGCAAGCAAGATAAGAGGGGAAGGCCATTCCCCAGGGCGAGTGGTTTTCCGACCAGGCCCCCTCTCCCCCGCCGCCGCACATACGCACCAGGTCCGGGTGGTCGGCTGCCAGCATCCGCAGCGGGTACACCGCCTCGACGTTTTGATCGCGGAAGGAGCACTCCACGCGGTAAGACATCTTCAAGGGGACCGACCCCGAGACTCGCGGGCAGGTGCTGGGGAAGTTGTCGCTCAGGCTGTGTGCATCGCGCGCCGGTGAACGGCAAAGGGGTCGTCAGTCATAGGGGGCCCCCCCCCCCCCCGGACAAAAGGAAGCACACAATGCCGCGGGAAGTTGGTCCTCACGCACGGCTGGGCCCGGAAGCAGCTGAGCCACTGGGGGGTGTTCGGCGAGATGCGGCATGCCACCGGCCGGAGGCCGGAGCAATCGCGCAGCGAGTAGAGCCGCGTGCACTGGCACTGTACTCGCGAAAGTAGCGCAAAGGGCGGGAACAGGATGGGGAGAGAGAGGAGGGAGAGGAGGGGGGCGGTCGTTGGTCAATGGTCGGGGCCCGGGGGATCCCCGCGGGGGGGGGGGGGGGGGGGGCATCAGTGCGGGCACACGCACCGCATGGAAGGCCTGGCAGCAGGTGGCCAGGTCGCACGGTCCGGCCGGCGTGGGCTGGCTGTCCGTCGTGTCACAGGTGCTCGGGCACACGGGGAAAGGGGGCGATTGCTGGTACTCGGCCGGGGTGAGGATCCCGTGTGGGTCCGGGCAGATGTACTGCCATGCACACACACACACACACACACACACAGACATATGGGCCAGCCGAGGCGAGATGGGAGGAGAGGGATGCCACCAGGGTGACAGTGTCAGAGACAGGACTCGCGCTTGCGACATAAGCCCGGCAGGCCCGACGGCCCACGACGCACGCGGACAATGGTCTCGGTGCCCTGGTTGGCGCAGGTCACACGCGAGGGAAGCGACCGGAAGTGGGCGGTCTGATCCAGCGCCGCCACCGACATCTGGTCCTCATCGTCGCCGGCCGGTGTCAGGGGGCCGCCAATCAGCGACCCAAGGTCCAGGACACTGCCGGACCCGCTGCCGCTGGAGGCCCCGCCGCTGCCGGCGGTCGGCTTCTGAGGGCGTTGCGGCACCGCGGCGCCGGCCGGCGTCGGCCGAGGGGTCGGCGTCGCGCCCGACGGCGACGAGGAGCCCGAAGACGAGGAGGAGGTGGAGGAAGAAGAGGAGGAGGAGGAGCCATTGTGCTGGCGGATCCACGACGGCTGGAGCTTGTTGGTGTACGGCGCCCGCGGGGTTCGGTAGTTGACGCGGTTGGCGGCCAGCACATCACGCGCGGCCCGCTGCCGGGCCATCGCGTCGGCGACATCGACATCCTGCTCGTCCAGCCAGTCCTCCAGCATGCTAGCAAGGCCGGCCTGCGACCGGACCAAGCTATCGGGCGAGGGGCATGCGGCCGGGAACGGGGAGGGGGGATGGCGGTCAGTTGGGCGCCTCCAGTAGGATGAGCGGGTGCAGGGGGGGGAGGAGGGGGGGGGGGGGGGGGGGGGGGGGGGGGGGGGGGGGGGGGGGGGGGGGGGGAAGGGCGAAGAGGTGAGGGCAACAGCAGGCAAGGGGCAAAGCATCGGCAC